TCTAAAGTCTATGAAAAAGCTCTCCCACACTCGGACTGCTCCAAGTGCACGAGAGTAGGGAACAATTTTTCTTCTCAAGTGGGTGTGTATTTGCCTAATACACCCACCGAGGTCTTCGTTTATTTGTTCCCGGATTGCCCGAACTTTCCTATTAAGTAGCTCAAGGCAACCACACAACCAAAATCACAATCAAAAAAAAATTTTGTTCGGGTACTTCTAATACACCCAATGTAGAATCCAAAGTTGATCACGAATTTCCGGGTCAAAATGGGTTCTTATGATCCTGATAAGCACGCCTAATATCCTAATATGATCCTAATTCAATGGATATTTTCCGTTGCCCAAATAGCCACAGAAAGTTTACTCAAGTCTCTAACAAGGAAGATCGTTGGAAGATTTAAGACGCTCCGGAGGGTTACCTCGGAGGGTACCTTGATCACCCAAGTTACTTCGGAGGGTACCCTAATCACCCAAGTTACTTCGGAGGGTCCCCCCAAATTTACTAAGGAGGGTCAATAAGATGCTTAATATGCTCCGGAGGGTTACTTCGGAGGGTACCTCCAAAATTTTCAAATTTTTCGATCTCGCTTAGAAGGTTCTCCCCCTCGCTTCAAAAAGCGTCAAAACAAGCTAGGAGCTCTAAGGGGAGCTGTTTTAACTTCTTAGGGTGATCTCGTGGAAATTTTCCACTAAGGAGGGTTGCTAAAGGGTTTAGCTGACTCCGGAGGGTCACCTCGGAGGGTTCCCCCAAAATCAAGAAAAAGGGTTATATCACCGCAGTAAAGCCTCTGAAAGCGGTCTACCTGACTTAAAACTAGGTTGGCTGACACGGTCAACCTTTCCAGTTGAATAAAAAGATGTTTTGATAAAATTTTCTGCCGCTCGGAGGGTTGCCCGTGATTTGGACCCTCCGAACCAACAAATTCTAAAAAAATTTTCTTTTCCGAAATAATCAACCCAAGAACGGTTGCGATTCGGAAAAGTGGTCAAAAACGTCGACTTATGGTACCAAAATTATCCCGATCGGATAACTAGTCTTTGAGAAATCGCCAAAAACGCGTTCGTCAAAATGGCCTTTTTCACCACCTGTATAGGATCTGAAAGACTTTTTTCGCAATTCCGGTCGAAAGTGCCTAAAAATTTTTGAAATGAGCGTAGCAGCCCTGTACGGCACTGGAATAATGCAAAAAACCGGACCAAAATTGGTTTAGAAACAAAAATTTGGCCAAAAACTATCAAATTTGGACCCTCCGATTCCTTCCTTTTCCAAACCTTAAGTCGTTAGCTCTATCCACGGAGCTACTCGGAGGGTTACCCAAAAAATTCTCTAGTAACCGAGCACGTTGTGCTAGCACGCTCCTAACGCAAAAAATTTTATTGCTCTAACTCTAAAAGCTCAAAAACTTGATCCCCAAAACAGATTGACAAAATTCAAAAAATTATCGAAATTTTGACCGAAAAATTTTGGTTTTTTTCAACTTCTACTGAGTCTTTTCTCACGCGGTTTCTTTAGTTAGGGGGATCGAACTACGTAGCTACTCCCTATATAAAAGCTTTTTGTTGTTCGGAAAAGCTCGGATATCCAAAAATTTGGGGGTCTACAGTTTGATCGAAAATCGATGATTTTCGACAAAATTGGGTATTTTTTGGATCTAATTGAGGAGATAAGTAATATATAATAAGGATAATAATCTATTAATAGTCGTTAATGAATAGTACTATACCCTCCTTTGCACCAAAATATCCGAATTAAGACCCTTAACTCGGAAATTTGTAATCGATGGAGGGTACAATCGGACCGCGCCAATCGTGCCCCCCACCACTTAAGTTTTAATGAAATAGTACCCGAACGATACTAAAATTGCTTCAACGATACCCAACAGTCGTTGCGGATGTTGTCCTTGATGTCCCTGTTGAGTGTGGAACACGTTGATCAGCTTGCCACTCTACCCTCCGGCCACCGGCAAAATTACCATTAACGTGCTTAAACACTCAAATTACACTCGAGGGAGGGTATCCAACCCTTCACCAAAACACACAATCTTTCTATCAGAAACGATATAAATCAATCTGAAACAACAACAAATAGGAAGGTCAGATCACATCTCGTCCGGAAATAACATATAAACTGTCACTTTATGTTTTTTACTGTTTTTGGTCTTTTTTGGACTTTTTTACTGTTTTTTGTACTTTTTTGTTTTTAAATAAATTTGTTTTTGGCTTTTTCTTGGTTATACACTATTTTTGTTTGGTTTTACGCTTTCTCTTTAATTGTTTTTGGTCCTGGGACCTCAGGACAAGCGGGCTCTAGATTTCCCACCTAACCCTCCGGCCCCCGGAATTTTCGGTGTTAACTAAGTTAAAAAGCTAAATTGCACTAGACGGAGGGTACGTACCTTCCCCCTAGTACAATAACGGTCATTAAGGCCTCTAACTCGGGCATACTCCCGGAGCGGAGGGTTCGTCGCTGAAACGCTTGCTGATCATGATGGTTTCATGCCTTTAACAGGCCCACCCAGGAGCGCCATAAAAACGTCTATGTAACATTCGCCCAAATATCACACAGCGACGGAGCGTAGAAAAAGTACCTATCAACGACTGGCAGGCGTCAGTTACCTTAATTCTACTCGTTTTTCACCGTCTCGACCTTGCCAGTTGATTTTCTGGTCTGTTTAGGGCAAAGTAAAAAGTTACCATTTTTAGGCCATCAGTCAAACGACTTTTGATCAGCTTTCGTTTGCATGCGAACACAACCACATAGCTGAGTCTCGGATCCTCAGACTACGTGATTGTCATTAAAAACACGGCTCGAACAACCTATTTTATTATGTTTTTGTGTGACAGTTTTATATTAAATCCATTGGAGATGGATTGACCCTTTCCTTTTTCTATCTACTCATGTCCTGAAATATTAAATAATAACGGTGTTAATTAAGATCTAGGACATTACAGCAGCTGTTATAGTCAGTTTTCACAGTCCCTTCACATATAACAGTCTCTGGGGGACCAAGCCTCCGCTCCCGTGATTTTCTTGAGATAACACTCTTATCTCCTATATTTCGTGTCCCGGGAGGGTTCCGTGGTATTTCTCTTCCCCCCACTGAAGCCTCCGTCTCCACAAATATCTGTCGCTAAGGTCCTTATCGTGTGTTCTTGCCACGATAAGAGGCTCCGTGTTTTTCTGTCTCTGATACAACTGTTCTTCACAATCTATATCGTGGTTCTGATTTTCGTCTTTTTTATTCAAAATGGCCGTCTTTTTTCTATTTCTCAGAAATGTTCTTCTTCCAATCGAAATTTTAAAAATAAAAATTCTAGAACATTCTGACCCTCCGTCGCAACACTTTTCTGTTCATAAGGCCTTTAGTCACTCTTTTTTCTGTCGCGGGAAGGTTGTGCTGTGTCATCTGGCAGAATGGCACAGAAAAGAAACCCTAAAAGATGACCTAATAGTTTGTTCAATTAATAGAAAACTCTGATGGAATTTCAATAAATGTTGTTTTATTGGATATGTTTTATGAAGATTTTTTTTACATTCAACTGACCATTTGAAGCACCGTAGTTGCGGTTCTTGCGCTAGTTAAGTATAATTGATTTGTATAATTGATATGTACAATTGATATGTGCAAATCTGGCCTCCAAATTTATCCAGAGGCCCATTAAGTTTTCGAGATGACGCTTTTAAAATGGGAAATAAAACAATTGAAAAGTTCGAAACTACCAACCCTGTAATTGGGTGCAGTCAGCGTACATTAAAAATTTGCAGATGTTGTTTTCAATGTATGGGGTTTTTCATGAGTTGTCGAAAATTTTCGAAGCACCGGAGGTGCGATAGATAAACGCTAGTGTAAATTTAATTGAACATCTTTAAGTTTCCGAGATATGATATTTGTAGTTATTTTCAAATTTTCATTAAATCTGATTGATGTCAGAATTTAATACTTAAAAAAAAGCATGAAAGGAGCATGAGTATGCTGTCGGTTTTTAGGGTCTTTTTTGAGTTTAAAGTTTCACTAATCTGATAAAACTCCGAAGGCTTATGTTTAGAGATATGACTGTTTGGGTGAAAAGAAACCCTAAAAGATGACCTAATAGTTTGTTCAATTAATAGAAAACTCTGATGGAATTTCAATAAATGTTGTTTTATTTGATATGTTTTAAGAAGATTTTTTTTACATTCAACTGACCATTTGAAGCACCGTAGTTGCGGTTCTTGCGCTAGTTAAGTATAATTGATTTGTACAATTGATATGTACAATTGATATGTGCAAATCTGGCCTCCAAATTTATCCAGAGGCCCATTAAGTTTTCGAGATGACGCTTTTAAAATGGGAATTAAAAAAATTAAAAAGTTCGAAATTACCAACCCTGTAATTGGGTGCAGTCAGAGTACATTAAACGTTTGCAGATGTTGTTTCCAAGATATGCGGTTTTTCATGAGTTGTCAAAAATTTTCGAAGCACCGGAGGTGCGATAAACGCTAGTGTAAATTTAATTGAACATCTTTAAGTTTCCGAGATATGATATTTTTAGTTATTTTCAAATTTTCCTTAAATCTGATGGATGTCAGAATTTAATACTGAAAAAAAGCATGAAAGGAGCATGAGTATGCTGTCGGTTTTTTAGGGTCTTTTTTGAGTTTAAAGTTTCACAAATCTGATAAAACTCCGAAGGCTTATGTTTAGAGATATGACTGTTTGGGTGAAAATAAACCCTAAAAGATGACCTAATAGTTGTTCAATTAATAGAAAACCCTGATGGAATTTCAATAAATGTTGTTTTATTGGATATGTTTTAAGAAGATTTTTTTTACATTCAACTGACCATTTGAAGCACCGTAGTTGCGGTTCTTGCGCTAGTTAAGTATAATTGATTTGTACAATCGATATGTACAATTGATATGTGCAAATCTGGCCTCCAAATTTATTCAGAGGCCCATTAAGTTTTCGAGATGACGCTTTTAAAATGGGAATTAAAAAAATTAAAAAGTTCGAAATTACCAACCCTGTAATTGGGTGCAGTCAGAGTACATT